AAAGTTGCAGGAATTATATTATCCAACAAGTCAATAACCATACGGTATTCTATGTCTTTACAGGTACTTCCAAATTTTGTTAAAATAGTATCTCTAATTTTACACCATCCATTATATGCTAAGTCAAGAAGCAAATTAATTCTCCAAGGTTTGGGTTTCTTTGCTAATACTTTTCTTTTACCAAATACAAAATGGAATAGTTTTTGAAAGAAGGTATAATATACAATTAATACATGTTCTCTGCTATTTAGAGATACGTGAAGAGGGCCTAAAATTGGAATAAACGAGTTAATCCCAGGTATTGAATATTGTGAATCCACCTTATGCAAATTTGTTATTGCTTTACGAACAAATAACTGTCCAGGCCAATCTGCTACTAATGGTGCGATATGATTTTGTAAGTATCCAGTATTTTTATCAATATCCAAGATCATTTGTAATGCTGTTATATAATCGTTCAGAGAATGCAAATTCTTTTCTTGAAACCCAATTAATCGTACTCCTTTCATTGAACGTTCTTCTTTTCTTTCAGCAATGGCATCATCATAACAATGCACTGTGAGTAGTTCAATTCGATCAAAAGTGTCAGTAGCTAATTGTCCATTGGTAAGCCATTGCTTTTTACGATTAGTGTATGCAATATCAAATATTCCATGATATTCCCAAATTAATCGAAAACAAATATTGCTGGCATCAATATTTACTGGATTATGAACTGACACGTTGTTAAAAATAATAGGTATTGGTGCACAACCTGAAACCTGCTTACAGATACAAGTGGCCATATGTTTGGCAGTAGATAAAGTTACGGTATCTGGTCTTCTTTTCTCATGTATGTCATGGTAATCATCTAGATTATAAACGTACAAATGGTCACTCTGATTGTAATTAAATTTTGGTTAATAGTAGTTCTTCAAATGAAAAAAAAATATTTTTTTACTTACATGTTCAGAGAGAAATTTTCTGATATTTAACGGATGTTCATTGGCAATTTTACGTTTAAAATTATTAACTGTTGTATAACAAGCAGAAAATCCAATACTATTCATTGTATCAATTGCAGCACGTGTTGCACCCGATGCTGACAAATATAATCCAACTTCCAACTTGAAATCGTTAACAAACTTATTTCGCATTCCAGCCATGATATAACATAGACTTACAATTGTTTTTCTTGCTTCAACTTTATTATATGCAGATCTGTTATCAGGAACCAATGCCTTTACTAATTTATCAAAAAGACCTTGTAAACGTGGATCTGCTTTTTCTATCATTTGTTTAAAATGGGTAGGATTAAGCTCTAAATTACCACACCGCTCATATAGAACCTTTGTAAGCATAGTAACCTTCTCGGCAAATGAATAGCTTTTTGATTCTGTATGTAACAAATAAAAAATTAGTTATAAAAAAAAAAAAATTTAATTTTCAATCATTTTAATATTTATGATTTGAATTTTCTTTATCTGGTTCTAAAAAAAAGGGAACTTCTAACTTTTGAGTATGGTAAGGTTCAACAATACTCATATAATGACTATGACACAATTGTTGTCCGATTCTTAGGTACGTATATGCTTCATATGTTCCTTTTTTTTGGGCTTTCTCATATGCTAATGAAGTGAATTGACGAAAACAGGTTACTTGATTATTACAATTTCATAATGAACATGGGCCATGATTTTTTTGGACCATATTGAATAGTTAAAACCCCTACAGATGGGCTGAAAATGGCTTATGAAATGATCTGTAATACGCGTAGTATTATCACGTGTTATTTTATTTAGCCAATCATAATAACGTGACATATGTTGATCATAACCAATAAAAACAAACTTTCCCTATACTAAATCTAATATGATTGCTAGGTATTGGCATTCTAAAAAATCACAGTACTCCCTTTCTTGTATATATTTTTTATAACTTAAAGTTAGAATGATAGCCAGTTGAGCAATAATAAATTTTATGCAGTGCGAGTTTTCTTCAATTTTTTCTACTTTACCAGGATCTATCCAAATAAAAGAAATTGATGAATATTAATTCAACATATCTTGAACTTTTAGATAGTAATTTTGAATTGCAGAAAAAATTAGCATAAAAGAAAATTAATAATATTTCTAATAAGGGAAAATATGCAAGCTTGCAAAAAAACTAGAGCAATTTAAACCATACATCACTTATCTCAAGAAAAATTTGGGTAAATAAAAAGATTAAAAGCAAATTGCAAGTCTATATTATACAAGCTTCAAAAATGCTGTAACTACCTAATGTTAAAGAAAAAAGCATTGGTGGTTTAATATAAATATATTATATAGCTAAATAATATTGTAAGCAAACTCAAAAAATGCATTTATGATTTATTTATAAGTAAGATGTAAATACTAAAATACTTAGGATACTGAATATTAGAATATACAAAACCAGTTGTAGGTTTACAACCAAAATATTTTTAATTTGCAATAATAAATCTTAGTTTTACAAAATAATTCTCTTAATATAGCTATAATTTAAAATATTATGCAAATATTAGCACTTTTACTTACTTAGTTACCTAATTATAATAGGCAAAAACTTCTAGACTTTTATTACCAAAAGCTTAGAAGTATAAATGAAACAGTATGTTCATTAGCTATTGTTACTTTTAATGCAATTGCAATAAAATGATTGGCAAATTTTAACCTGTTTCTGTAAATAATCCTTATAATACTAATGTGTCTGATCCATTAATATTAAAGCAAGATTTTTGAACTGATTGTAAGGAAATATTAAGATGTGATAATAGAAATTAATTGAGCAGTCTTTATTGCTATTATGAATGAAAAGTTTTCACCATTACACATGTCAAATGACCAAAAACAGGCAAAAAAAATGGCGTGAATTGCATAAATTATTTGCAAATTTGTATAAACTATTTACAAATAGTATAAGTTAATTTACAAATAGCCAAGAATAGCCAAGAATAGTCACTGCTTGCTTTTCGCGCCATTTTTTTTGCCAATTTTTAGCATTTCGACCTGTAAATTAAATACAGCTGATACATATAAAAAAAATTAAACCAATTGTGCAAACCTTTTTCTTTATTTATAAAATTTAATCAAATAAATCAAAAAAAAAATATTAAGTAATAATCCAATGAAGTCATTCCTTTATTCTATATATATAGTTACTTTTTCAAGATATCTTATTAACAAATTGGATGATAACCCTATGAAAAGTTTTTATACTTAAAATTTTATTAAAATATACTTAAAATAAGTATTAATTTTAATTTGCGATATACTTATAATATACCTAAAATGTATTTAAAATACTTTTAAAATATACTTTTAATGTACTTGTTTTTGCCCAAGTGCTTAAATTATATTTAAAATATACTTAAACTAAAATTTAAGTACAATAAAAGTGTATTTTTTGCATGTTTAAAATATTCTTAAAATGTGCTTAAATTTCAATTTAAGTATATTTTAAGTATATAAAAAACACATTTATATTATACTTAAATTTTAATTTAAGCATATTTTAAGAATATTTTAAATATGTAAAAAATACACTTATATTGTACTTAAATTTTAGTTTAAGTATATTTTAAATATACACTACCCTCCCAAAAGTATCCGGTCAACCAATAAAGATCATATTTTATTAATAATAATTAATATTTAGTTGACCATCCATTGTTTTTAATGCATGCTTCAATTCGGCGTGACATGCTCTCAATTAAATTAATGTAAGTTTTAGATGGAATTCTTTCTCACTCTTCTTTTAGCTGTTAATCCAGTATTAAAATTTTTGTATCGAACAATCGTGTTTGTAACGGTACTTTTTGGAAATTTTAGGACACGAACTGATAGCTTCATGAGTTCTCATCCTTTCCAAAGGCTAATAATTTTCTCACGCTCACTCAATTCACAAGTTTTTCACATTTTAAAAGTAGCCGAATGGCACAGTAACAAAAAAAGCAAAGATCGGTGTTGGCAAAATTGAGGTGTTATTATTTGTTTTATTGCCAAATCTGGTACAAGCATCATAACACAATAAAAATACATTCATTTTAATCGTTAGAACCAGGGAATTGTTTTTTTTTAAAAAAAAATGATACTTTATATATTCAATCTTGAGAAAATCAAGTTGAGCTTGGCTGGATACTTTTGGAAGGGTAGTGTAATTTAAGTACTTGGGCAAAAAACAAGTATATTAATTAAGAGTATTTTAGGCATATTTTAGGTATATTATAAGTATATCGCAAATTAAAATTAATACTTATTTTAAGTATATTTTAATAAAATTAAGTATATTTTAAGTATAAAGATTTTTCATAGGGTAAATTTGTGAAACTTTATTAATAATTTAAACTTACAATAACTGGAACTTTTTCAGTAATATCTGTTAGTTAATAGAATCATGTTTACTTTTATTCAAATTACAGAAAATTTAACTTTTATAGTTATTCCAATACTTTCTATATATCTGTTACTGGTTAACATTCTATTCAAGAAAATAAAATTACTAATTCCAACCAATCTAAAGTTTTTTTTCTAACAAGTGATCTTGTTTTTTCAATCAAAGATATTCAGATTGTTAAACTTATTTTTTTTATTTTTATTTTTATTTTTTTGTAAAGGCGCAATCATATTTATTAATAATAATGTTAAAGTAATACAATATATTTACAAAAGTAAAATAAAATAAGGTATTCTAAATAAATTTAAACATTATTAACATACTGCTCCTTCTAATTAAAGAAAAAAACTGACCTGTCACCTTGAGATTAAAGGTGACTTGTCATGAAAGACTTAAAAATTTGACCAATGACCTTTTTTATATAAACTGTATTTTTCTTTCTAACTAATGTTAGCTAGTAGCTACACGTAAATACTGTCAGGTATAGAATAATGAAAAAGGTAAAATGTTGGTTAGTATAATATAGTTTAAATTCTATCTAAAAGATAAAAAAGAAAAGATAATTATCGCACAAAACACACTTGAAAAGCAAGCACAAACTAATAACGATTATTACGTTTATTACGCTTAGATTGATGCTTAACCTTTTTGTGTCTTTCTAATGCTTCATTGTAAAGATTCATTATACCATTGATCTATTAAATTCATATCATATTCTATATCATTTTTGCTGCATTTATATTTATAATCTGCAGCTTCTGTGGCCGTTAACTTACAATTAATGAAAATATGATACATCATATCATAATATTCTTTTGTTGCGACTTTCTTTTTTGGAAATGTATCTTCCTTAAATGCTTGTATCATAGTGAAGTTATCTTCATCAAAAGTATGATTGAGGAAGATATCTTCAGTCAGCTCATTATATGCACTATAACTATTCACTTCACTATATAAAAGTGCTAGGTCACTTGACTTAATATACTGTTCTGTCAGAATAGCAGTTGTGGATTTTCAAATATGATGTGATGGTCAGAAATTAGTAATTACTTTACCATTATTGAGAAATTTCTATTTTTCTATATTATTTTTTAAACCTCTAACTCTACGTTTAGCGAATAAGTCTGCTTTTTTGGTCACAATAGTTAACTCTGTTTCTTTATAATCTCTATAAATCACTCGGTAATTAACTGCTTTTTTACATTTAGGACTAGGTTGTTCATAAGATTTTCTGCCTTTAAAGGCAAGTTGTTTCGTATAACTAATACCTCTCTAAACTGAAAAAATCTGTTTCACTGACTCGTAAGATTTTTCTTTAAAAATCACTCTATCCAATAGGACCTTAGGTGGTTTTTGTATTACCTCCTTCTTATGCTTCCAACATATTCTCCTGTCTTTTGAAAGAACTATAGTACATAACTGCGAACATTATACATGAAACTGAAATTGGTTAATTTTGACCTCCAAAATGGTCAAAATGGTCGAAATGATTTCAACTTGAGCCCCTTCAAAAGTCAAAATGGTCGAAATTACGTCATAGTCATATGATTTTATAGTAAACAATAATATTAAAATTCAAAGTTAACGAACTCCGCATCCAGTGATTCGATTTTTATGATCTTTACACGGTTGGATTCAGCTCATTGAGAGGATTCCAATGATATGTATTTCATATCTGTAGCATTAATATTGACGGAGTTATTCACGTTTAAAATTTCATATTAAATTATAATTGTAAAAATCATATGACTATGATGTAATTTCGACCATTTCGACTTTAATTTCGACTTTTGACCTTCCCAAGTCGAAATATTTCTACTTTTGGGCTTTAATTTCAACTTCATGTATAGCGAACATATATTACATGGCACATAAAACCTAAAATACCAAGTAGTCTGTCTAACTGAAAACCGTATATAGGTAGTTGTTTCATTATTTCTGAGTGATTCAGATGACAACCGATTACATATCAATTGATATTTTTTCAGCAATAGAAATCTAATTCTATTAAAGTATTTAGTTCTCATCCCTTTAGATAATAGTAATGCCAATATTACTGCAGTTAGATATTTGGATATACGAAATTTAACATTCGCATTTTTCCTATCACTACTGATTTCATAGGACCCTGAATAATATTGATATAACTCACAAACGGGTTTGTGTAGAATTTATATAAAGTTACTTTTTAAACCCATAAATTGAGTTTGCGTAAATCGGTCAATTTTGGGATAACTCACATATCACGTTTACATAGAATTTATAGATATATTGCATTATATGTTGATCAATTGTATAATATTGATAAAAATTAAGTTGCGCAACACCATTAAGGATGGATCTGTAATATATTTCTGAAATTTGCAATATTGTGGATTCTAGTAATTAATTATATAAAGTAACAAAAAGTAATGCATTTCACATTATTTAATATTTTTTAATAGAAAAAAGTGCAAAATGCACTACTTTAGCAAAAAATAGTGAATTTTGCACCATTTTATTAACATTTTAATAGAAAAAAGTGTGAAACACACCATTTTAACAAAAAATGGTGAGTTTCGCACCATTTTATTAATACTTTAATAGAAAAAAGTGCGAAACACACTATTTTAACAAATAAATAGTGAGTTTTATACCATTTTATTAATATTTTAATAGAAAAAAGTGCAAAACACACCATTTTAACAAATAAATGGTGAGTTTTGCACCATTTTATTAATACTTTAATAGAAAAAAGTGCGAAACACACTATTTTGACAAATAAATGGAGAGTTTCGCACCATTTTATTAATATTTTAATAGAAAAAAGTGCGAAACGCACTATTTTAATAAAAAAAATGGAGAGTTTCGCACCATTTTATTAATATTTTAATAGAAAAAAGTGTGAAACGCACTATTTTAATATAAAATGTTGAGTTTTGCATGATTTTATTAATATTTTAATAGAAAAAATGTGAAATGCATTATATTAGTAACAAAAATTTTTTTTGAACTAAGATTTGGATTTGCGTAATGTTACTATGAAAAAAAAGTTGCATAGAAGTTAATAGTAAATGCATGCCGATCATTTGTGAGTTATATTAGTATTATTTGGAGTCCTAATTTCATATGGAGATTTATATCTTTTTATAATTCTCTTATTATTCGTGAACACTTGTAACTGCGTGTTATCTTTCTTTAAAGAGTTAAAGTCTAATAAGGCGTATGACGTGCCTTTATAAGTATTGTACAACACATTTGTGCCAGTTATCTGTTTGGGTTTCTCAACCCCTAGATGTGTAATATTGATGAATAATCTCTTTTTCATGTCAATCATTTTAAGCGAATTCAGCACTAAAAATAAAAGAAAATTGAAAAACTTATATATCAAAAGCTGTGAAAGTTGTTATTAACTATTGTTAATAAGTATATTTCTAGTATATACTTCAGTTTACTCGTCCGTATTAGTGAACCAAGCCCTTCTGTGCAGCGAAAAAGCACCTACGACATAGCTAGTCTAATACTATTACTACAGCCAGTAAAACAAAAGAAATAAACCAATATTTCCTCAAAAAACCCTAGGGTTTTTCTAAATATTGTAGGCTAAAAGCTGAACATTCTATTTTTGCAAGCAAAAATGTATTTTTCTTATGTGATTCAGTGACAAAGTCACTTTTTTGCAAAATTATTTTTTAGAAAATTTTTGGACGTGAGATCTACCAGAAAGAGTTTATCTTGATTTCCAAATTGTTAAACTTATTATTATTTTAGTTTTGCATTTAAATAATCATGAAGTCAAACTTAAACAAATTGAGAAAAAATTAGATCTTAATATTCCACCTTATAACTTTACTTATATTGAAATTAAATAAAGATGTAATAAAAACATTATAAGTGATATCTTTAAATTAGACTGCTTCCAATCCTTCTTTTCATTACTTCTCAAATATTCTTTCCTTCACCTTCCAGTTTCTTTTTGTAGTAAAATTAACAATCTTCCTACTAAAGCTCTGAACGGGTCGGTTCGGTTCGGTTTTTTTGTGGTTCGGGTAGAACCGAAAACCGAAATGGAACCGAACCGGAACCGTCTGGTTCAGTTCGGTTCTATCCGAAATTAAGAAAAATGCGAAAAAATGAATACACGACCATCCAGTGATCGTACAAGGACGAGCCATAGCTC